ACCAGTAGATGGCGTTAAGGTTTTATCACTGGATTCCCATGTAATAGACCACAGTTCAAGTCCTGGACCCAGTGGCTTAAAAAGCCAAGTGTGTGTGTATGCCCAAAATCCCAAGAGGAGAATGGAGGAGAAAGGAGAGTGGTGTGATCAACTCTCCTGTGGGTGCTTTCTCTTTCTTTCTCTTTCTCTCTCTCTGTCTCCCATGGGTGAGTGCATGTGCCCTATAGCAACTCCAAAAAAAATAGAAAAGGAGAGAGGACTCTCTCTCTGTCTGTCTGGCGAGCGCACGTGCCCTATAGCAAAAACCTCTCAAAAAAAAAAAAGAAAAAAAAGGAAGAATCCATGAATCAATATAAGTTAAAATCCACTATATCAGAACAATAACTAAATGTTGTGGCCTTTCTCACAGTTCACATCTAACATACAGTAAAGCCCAATTATTTTTCATATGGGCCATTGTCATATCTACAATAAAATCTATTAAGAAAAAAATACATTACTTTTCATTTAAAAACTTTCTATCAACTGTACTCAACTTGTACGTGTGACAAATGACAGTGCTAAATACATTTTCCAGGATGTATTGAGTCACTGGCAAAGTCATGATTCATTTTTGCATAAAAAAAAAAATGTCATGACTTTTACAATATGGTAGATAAATCCAAGATATTAACTGTCTAATAAAGGAAGAAAAATTATAGCTTCAAAGCTTATAGAAGGATACTTATCAAAATGTTAAGTATTTACTCTGAGGTAGGGGAGTTTGCAGGTAATAGATTATTTTGTGTGTGTGCTTTTCTAAATGAGAGAAAATAAAAAGGATCTTCAAAAAGTTCATGAAAAAATACATATTATGAAATAACTCCATATGGATTTCAAAGTTTTTATGCACCAATATGAACTCGTACTTTAATTCCATTTTACCATAAATCTAATTAACATAAAATTTAATCTTTAAAAATATCTAGTAATCGGGACCAGCAGATGGCGTAATGGCTATGTCGCTGGACTCCCATGTAGTGATCACGGATTGAGTCCCACCGGGTGTGTGTGCATATGTGCCCAAGATCCCAAAAGGAGAAGAGATTGTGGCGTGGCCATCCCCCCGGGTGGGGATTTCTCATTCTTTGTCTCTGTCTTTCTGGCAAGCACATCTGCCCTATAGCAAAAGCCTCTCCCCCACCCCACCCCCCAAAAAAATCTAGTAATCTATAAAAATTATCCCCTCTCCGAAATATCAGTGGAGTCATGCGTCACTTAACAAAGAGAATATGCTTGTTTCCCAGAAAGGCAATAACAGGTGGTTCTGTTGCGTGAACACCACGGAGCGTAGTTACACAAACCTGCACTGTAGAAAACTATACACACACATGCTATCTGGTATAACCTTAATGGGTCACTGCTAGTCATGTAGTCCTGTCACCGACCAGAACTCGTTATGCAGTCCATGACTGTATTTTCTCTTGAAGACACAAAAAACGTTATTACTCACCTTAATAGCTTTGATGGCTGCCTTAGTAATCTGGGTCATTTTCGCTTTAGAAATGGGTGGTTTATAGTCATTCAGGGAATATAGCTAAAGAAAAAGCAAAACAAAATTTAAAAACTAATCATCTCCAAGCAATTACACAAAATTACCAAATATTTCCCACTGTTATACTCTTAATGAAATCAAAGTACTGTTATTCTTTTAAAAATCAACATCACTAGCTTTTAGGAAAATGCATATCAAAACTACAATGAGCTATCACATCACACTTGCTGGCTCATAATCAAGTACAAATCAATGTTAGCTCGGAAGTATAGAAACTGGAACCCATATATACTGTTGGTGGTGATATAAAATGATGAAGCAGCTTTGGAAAGGAGTTTGGCAATTCCTTAAAAAAGTATAGTTACCAGAAGACCCAGCCAATTTCACTCCAAAGTATGTACTTAAACCAACAGAGCTGAGAATATGTTTACATTCAATCTTGCACATTAATGGTCACTATTAATGTATTAATAATTAATAGCATTATTCATATAAAATTCATAAAAAGGACAGAAACACATGTGCATCAGTTAATGAATATTTGATAAGAAAAAAGTTATATCCATCCAAATAGCCATAAAAATACGTGTAACATCATGAACAAAATTTAAAAACAGTATACTAAAGTTTAAAAAAGCCAGATGAAAAAGATCACATAATTAAGCTTCTATTTCTATGAAATGTCCAGAAACAGCCAATCAAATGATGGTGGTTATCTACTGCTGGGTGAGTGGAGGAGAAAAAAATTAACAGTACTTTTTAATAAACTCTAAAATTGATCGTCGTGATGGTTGTGTAACTTAGTGAATGTACTAAAGACTACATGTTCACTTTAAATTGGCTGGTTTTATACTATGTATATTATATCTCAATAAAACTTAAATCACATGATCTGTTGTTTAACAATTCTGTACTCACCACACCCTGGTGATAAAAAAGCCTTTGTTTTGAAATTTATCATATAAGTAAGTAATAATAACAATGCTTAAAGAAAAAAACAATTAATACAAGATGGGGAAGTAGGCAACAAATAGTAAGCAAGCTTAAAGAAAGAGTGATTAAAATATCCTCTGCAGAGACCAGTAGATGGCGTTAAGGTTTTATCACTGGATTCCCATGTAATAGACCACAGTTCAAGTCCTGGACCCAGTGGCTTAAAAAGCCAAGTGTGTGTGTATGCATGCCCAAAATCCCAAGAGAAGAATGGAGAAGAAATGGTGGCATAGGCACCCTCCCAGAGCCCCTGGGAGGTGATTTCTTGCTTTCTGTCTGTCAGTATCTCTCTCTCTCTGGCAAGTACACACACCACATAGCAAAAACAAAAGATACAAAAGTAAAAACAACAACAACAAAAAAACTGTTTAAAAATATATATACATACATATTACTTTCACTGTACTCAGTGATACTAAGATTTTTAACTATAATGCTGGTAAGGAATTAACTGGAAGTCAGGAAACAAAGCTTTGCCCATTAGGACACTGTAAAAACAATCTTCATGCCTCCTAGAATTTTCCCAGGGTTCCCATATTGGTCTCCTCATCCTCCTCTAACTACCACCCTGACATTCATCGCTTACTTGAAAAACACCTATATGTATGTGGCAAGTTCTTCATATCACTATTGCAACTATCTTTTCAAAAACTAACCTATCAGTTGGCTGACACTGCCCATTCCCATCACACCTTTAAAATGGTCAGTGAGCTCCCACTCTTAAAATAAAAACTTAAATTCTATACACGCAAGGCCCTGCTTGTTGTAACCCCGTATACCTTTCCAGATTCACCTTATACCTCACTCCCAACCTTTGGTTCAAAGCACAATAGCTTTATTTTGGTTCCTAAACACAGGGCCTTCAAAATGAACCTTGCTCCCTTTATTTAGAATATGCTTCACTGGGGCCTCCCCACTAATTATCTTAGTTCATCCATCTTAGTTCAAGCATGACCTAATGAGGACAGGCTTCCCTACATACCCGCTCTTTTATGCTCTTATTGTACTGTCACTCACTTTGAACATTTATTACAGCAATCTGACATTTACTTAAAGTACTTCACAAGGATGAGGATGACTGATACTAAGACAAGCAATGTAAATTATTTTAATGCAGCTTAATTAAGTTATTAATAAGAGGTTAATAACTATATACCAACTGCTGTTTGAACTGTACTCCATCTGGGAGCTCCCAGAAGCACCCACCTGTTCATACTACCTGACTAGGATTACAATCCCATCAGATCCTTCCTAAGAGCTCTGAAGATCATTAAGATCCTAAGTTAGCTGAATGTTAAAATCTCTGTCAATCACTCAGGAAATTTTAGTACACTGATCACCTCTATTTCCGCGTTTGAGAACATCTTATCTTCATATTCTACTCTGTCCACCAGGTATGACATAATGTCAACAGATGGTATAGGACTTACAGCAGGCTGCGTAAAAAATGTCAATTTCTCAGAATTTCTCAGTAGGCCTTAGATTCACTTCTGACCTCTCCACTACAGAAGAGCTCTAAGAACAGAAACTCTGCCTTTTTTTCATTTTTTTCTCTCCCTTTTCTTCAAATACTGCCAGGACATGGCAATGCATAAACTTTGCACAGAAAGATTTGTACAGAATTCCAACTATTACCTTATTAAAAATTGTTAAACTGCTCAACATTAGTTTTCCATTTACAAAATAGAAGCAAACCTTGTTTCACAGAAACATTGTATGAAAAGCACACACAGGTCACTCAACAAGGGTTAGCCACTACAAAAATGAAAATCTTTTCTCTCTGGTAAGCATTCACCACTTAAATGAACACTATTCACTGAGCCATTTGAAGGTATACTCTATACCTCAAGTCAGTCATTTATATACTAGAGTAATAAAAAGGCATTAGGTCTGTCCTTGAAAACACATTACCACATGCTGGGTGGTAAAGTGCTGAAATTCCATTTAAGTACTAGTCCATACCCCAGTGGAGTAAAACATTGCTGGCTTTTTTGGGGAGGATGAGGAATGTTAGGGATGGGGGTCAGAGATAATATAGACTTCTGAAACATTTTCAACAGGTTGAAAAGTAAGCTGTCATCTGAGACCCTCCTTTTAAAAATGCACCAGCTGCAAGAGAAATGAACTTAAGTAACGGCATAGTCTAAAAGCTCACTTAACACACTGACTTCCAACCATTTCCCTGTTTTCTAAAATCCCATTTATTAAATTTGATCATCACAAGAGACATAAATCATTATATCTAATTCTTCACTGAGTATCTTCACTAAAATTTAATATTAAGTATTCAATTTTAAAATGGTGACTAAAAATTTCCCCTAGGACATTGTCTTTTCTTGATCTTTTAAAAAAAATATTATTTTTATGCAGCAAACCTGCTATTCAAGAATTCAAAGTAGAGCCTGCTTCATGGTCTAATGGTTAAGAGAGACTCCAGATGGCCAACCAAGTAATTCAAATACGAGCTCTGGCCTGTCCCTGGCCTGGGCAGAGTGGCATCTGGCTGGTGGTGCCCATCTCATATCAGTCAGGGACAAACCAACCGCTTGTTCATCCCAGATTGGCTTTTGGTCAGTGCCTTTGCCTGGTTCATGCCTTGGACACGTAGGAAAACAACAACAACAACAACAACAACAACAACAAAAAAAAAAACACCAAAATATAATGATGAAATGCTGCCAGCCCACTGAAGCCTTTTAAAAACTTTAAAAACTTCTACTAACAATTCAGTGAATACAAAGAAACTCTATTAAACCTACTATAGATGTACAAGATGACATAATGCCTGATACACAGCAAGCATTCAATAACAAATCTTTATTATCAATTACTACCAATACTGCTACACGCTGCTATTAAAAACTGCCACATTTCATTCCAACCCTTTCTAATCGGATTTGTCAACCTGGCACCAAGAGTTAAAATGTAATTGTATTCTCAAAATCTGATCCAACACAGAAAACACTTAACGGTTTTATACTGAAGATGTTGGGAGAAGAATGAAAGCTAATGCTGGGAAAGTTCCCTTCCTTTGATGATTCCCATCCCTATGCTTGGTTCAGAATACCATGGCCGCAGGCTCTAGCGAGATGCCTGGGCTCTCCAGGACTCAGTTTTCTCATGTACAGGTTTCAATCTTGCTAGTCTGCTTCTAAGGATGTAGCTCTCTGATGTCAAGTCTTCCAAACTCTTAAGCTGCTATTGACCCCAGTTAGCTCGTTATATCAAATTCTTCTTCAGTTAAAACTAGCCAACTTTTCAAGGATTACTACTACCTACTGGGCTCTTGGCTCAGACTCTGAACTCTGCTTCTCCAATCTAAGCTGCTTCTCATCTATCACATTCTAATGTGATCCTGTCTCTATAAACAAACTCTGTCCATCTGTCAACTGATACAAAGTCCTATTCCTAACATCCTCCTCCCTTTGGCATTTCAGACATCATTCCCATAGAAAGAGACGGGGTTTTCAGTCTAATTTATTCTTTGCATGTTTCAACTCCCCTCACGTACACTTAAGAGTGCTCCTTAAACTTATAAACTTTAAATAAATTTCTATATTATCATCTGTAGGCACCACAACAAATAAATATTTTTAATCCGAAACTTCAAATCAAATCTGTTTCTAATGACTTTGTCAGGATTGAGGAAATATTTAACCTGCACTAAGATACATGAGCTGCTACTACTGACTACCAGGACACTTGTCTATAATAAAGACCTTAAAGCTAGAAAAAAAAAGGTCCTGACTTTTCTGACGACCCAATATGTTAGGCTTTGCCCACAAAAACTATGCAGCCATGGTCCTTGTGGCAGGAAAACAGACACAGACAATTCATGTATGAATAAGCAGTGTGTTTTAACCAAACTTATTTTATAAAGGAGACCATCCATTGAGTGTGGGGAACATTCTCAATCCCACAGATGTACATCGGTTGTTTTGTTGCTGTTGTTTTGTTTTTTTAATTTTGTCATAGAATGCGTGTGCTTGCTAGAGATGGCAGGGAAGAGAGTAGGGAGTGAAAGCAATGGGGGAAGAGGGAATGACCATGCCACAGTTCTCTATCCTCTATCCTCCTCTTGAAACTTTGGAAAACACATACATGCATCCAACATGATTCTCAAGCCACCTGTCCAACACTCAAGCCACAAAGTCAGGCAAATGGGATACTTAAACTCTATGCCACAAGCTGGTCCTTGATTTTGTTTTTTAATTTGCCAAAGGCTCTGAGTGCTCCTGGGGAAGTGGGGGTCAGGTGGAATGGTCACGCTGCAATTCCATTTCCTCTCCTTTTGGAATTTTGGGCATGCACAATCACACATGCACTTGACATGTTTTTCAAGTTACTGGATCCAGGACTCCGATTGCACAGTCAACCACGTGGAAACTAGTCACTTTAACCACCACACCACCAGCTGGCCCAGATTTTCTTTTTAAAAGATTTACTGGGACCAGCACTTAGCATAATGGGTATGTCACTGAACTCCCATGTAGCTGACCACGGTTCGAGTCCCAGACCCAGTGGCTTAAAAACTCACGCCCGGCGCATGTGCGTGTGTGCCCAAGATCCCGAGAGGAGAATGGAGAAGAGATTGCGACGTGGCCATCCACCCTGGGGAGTGATTTCTCGCTTTCTATCCCTCTTATCTCTCTCTGTCTTTCTGGCAAGCGCATACGCCCTATAGCAAAAACCTCTCAAAAAAAATTATTATTTAATTTTATTCACCCATTTATTTTTTTTAATTTGACAAGAGAGAGAACAGAGAAAGAGAGTGAAAGAGGAAAAGTGAGAAAGCAAACCACCAGTCCGGGACTTGAACTATGGTCAGCCATGTGGGAGTGCCCAGCACCTTAACTACCATGCCACCTGCTGGTCCCAGATTTTGTTTTTGACAAACACTGTAATCTCACATCCTTGGAGAATATATTCATGCTGAATACATTCATGCTCTCCCTCCTCTATGCACTGAGATCCATTATCCATAATGTAATAAAATGTTATATTTTATACTTGCTATTTCAAGCAAACTCTTCAATAATTCGAGTCCCTGACCCAGCTCTGGCAGTGCAGGCAGTGAGGGTACCAATGTGCAATAGAAGACCAGGTTCTGATTCCAGGCCGACCTGAACACACCAGGCACACCCCAGAGACTGGGAGGCTAGGGAAAGGATTGTGTCATGACAAGACCTTGTCAAGGGTGTCTGCCTTTCTCTCTCACTCGTGAAGGAAATAAAGGAATTTTGCTCTTTTAAGTTTCATTCTCAATTTGAGCAAAATTACAGAATTCTATTACAACTGCCAAAAACCCAAGGAAAAAACCTACTATCAGTCATACTCCAGAAAATCAACATCTTGCTCATCTAAGTACTGGCTTATCTATGCCTTCAGGGATGTTGGTTTTGTGACCAAGGGGACAGATCTAAAGTGTGAGTCTAAAATAAACAGTAATCAATCCAGTCCATTTTTCTCAACAATGGTCCTTTAGGACCTTCACGGTACAAATCAGGTTCCTGTAAATCTCCAAAGAAATCAGAAACGTCACAAAAAATTTGTGCAACTAACACAGCCTTGATACTTTGAATTCAAGACAGCATGTTGATCAGACATTTTTCTTTTCTTCCTTAAACTGGGAAGACAATGAGGGACTTTCAAAAAGTTATCAAAATTTACAAGGACAAGCAAAAAGAGGGGACCAGTAGATGCCATAATGGTTACATCACTGGACTGACAGGTAGTCAACTGTGGTTCAAGTCCTACACCCAGTGGCTTAAAACTCACACTGGGGGACCAGTGGTTGGCATAATGGTTACACTTCTGAACTCCCACATAGTCCACCGAGGCTAGAATCTCAGACCCGGTGACTTGAAACTCACTCAGGGAATGTGTGCCCAAGATCTCAGAGAAAAATGGAGGAGAAAGGATTACAGAGTGCCCATCTCCCTTGGGAAGTAATTCCTCGCTGTCTCTCTGGTGAATGCGCAAATCCTATAGCAAAAATAAATCAAAAAATAAATCAAAAAAAGAAAAAGCCCTGAAAAGTAAAATGAGGAAGAGAGAATACTCAGCAGACAAGAGATGATGTCACAAACTACTACAAAATGGAAACAAAATTGCTAACTGGTACTAGTGAGCACTGTCTCCCTAACCCCCACCCCAAACCCAACTTCTTAAAAAGTCAGTGAGAAGGCAGCTCCACAGGCCAGAAAGAATATTCCTCAGGAATCCAATCAGTTGGCACCTTGAGCTTAAGACTGCCTTGCCTCCAGAACTGTGAAAAAAAATCAATTATAATAGTTTAAAATACTCTATAGAGCCAACCCTATGGTCCAGTCATCAAGAGACTGCAATCCTATAGAGTAGACTATGTTCAAATCCTGACCCCAATGGCTTGAAAACATACAAAGCCCCCATATGTGCATGCCCCAAATCCCTACAGGGTGGAAAAATGGAGAAGGAACTGCAGCATAACCACACCCCACTGGGTGGTACCGTTGTCCCTCTGTCTCTCTAGAAAGTGCATATGCCCTGTGGCAAATAAACCAACAAATAGATACCTCATAAAAAGTTATTTATATATTAAACTTTGCTATCCAATTAACGGCACATACTTGTTATGACTAATGAATTACAGCTCCCAAAAAAAGCCAAAAAAAAAAAAGGATATACAAAGCTTTGAAAGCATTTTAAAACAGATTCCTCTCATTTGAAATGATTACTACTTGCAGGTCTAAATCACTATGAAGTAAAAGTTAAGATGATTATTTATTCTCATCATAACTCCCAAGTTTGTTTCACCATGATGAACAAGATAAATATGATGTGGTTTTCATATAAGTACATCAAAAAAATTCTACATTCATTTTAATAGGTAGTTATTAGCATTCCCACATCTTTTACTAACTTTTCAACATTCTACAGTATAAACGCTTGAACTTCCAAATAACATGCTTTACTTTAAATCAGAAATCACATGAATATGTCTACAAAAGAATAGTGATGAAAATTTGAAAACATCGAAGTAAAATATTTGTTTAAAATATATTAGAAGGCAATAGAAAATTATCATTGGTTTTGTTACAGTAGCTTTGGTACACAGAATTCTACAATGGCCCCCAAGTTTTCCTGCCTTGCAATGGATGGTAAAGGCCTTGTATAATCTCCCTCCATGTAATCCTCCCATTCCTTGACTATGGTTGGTACTTGTGAATATAATAGATACACCAACCTCTGATAACTTCATTATAAAAACTCCCCTGTGAAAGACTGAAGGCAGGATTTATTTTCTGCTTGCATTTAAGAAGCAAATGCCATGTCTGAGAGGGTTATATGAGAACGACTTCTAGGCCACTGCTGCAAACAAAACAAAGACCTCAGTCCTATGATAAGGATTTGTATTCAAGCCAACAACCTGAACCTGAAGGAGCTTACAGGAGGACCTCAGTCTTTAAATAAGAACAAAGCTCTTGTTGACATCTTGATTTCAGTCTAATGAAACTATCAGCAGAGGACCCACCCAGCTAACCAGTGCCTTGATCCTGACACGCTGTTTTCAGTCACAAGCTACATTTGTGACAACGTTACACTGCAACAGAAAACCAATGCAGTGGG